AATAATAGGCTAAAATAATGCCATTAAACATTTAAAATATACCATCTTTATTTTGTTTCTATATTAATTTGGATAATGTGAAATTATGACAATATAATTATGTTATATTATTATGTGATTACCACATTTTTCTGTAATTAATCTTGATTAATGTAACCCAAGTTCAATTCCGTCTCAAGGTCCTTGGCCGGCCCCGCTTCCCTCTCTTCACCCAATATTTTTCTCTGTTTTTTTAAACTGTCTTGTCAAATAAAGGCGTAAAAGGCCCAAAAATATAACTTTAAATGTGTAAATGAGTTATTTGCAACAGCACTAGTATGACAATTTGAAATTGCTAAAGTAAATATTGTCACATTAATTCATGTTTGTGAATGTATTGTAACAAGTTTGTACATAATGTGTAGCTGTCCTTGTTTTATACGCACCTTCTGTGAAAATGAATTTCCTCTCTGAGGACAAATAAATTACCTATCTAAATTGTAAGTAGTGTGTAATTTATTTATATTTACATCCTGCATAATGATATACCATTTACCATTTGATGAAGCTATCGTTATTGGTTAAATGAAGCCCAAATGCCACCAACCGGTCTATTATATGAAGTATAAGTAGTTCAAGTTCAAAAACATGCAAATTACTTCATTTTTATAGTTATGCATATACAGTATATATATCATTTGACTATAGTAATTGTTCAATTGGAATTACTCTGTATAATGCCCCTTTTTACATTTGAGCCCCTGCCCCAAGGAATACTCTACACATCTCTGTTCATGAGTATGTAATATGTATCACTTATGATTTTCACCCATGTTATATGTATCCATGTATAAAGACAGAAGTCACAAATGAAACATTCACATCTAGATAGATGCAAAAGAGTTGACCTTATCTCAAGTCAGCGGGAAAACACACTAAAACACTTTCACTTTCTTACTGTAATGTCAGGTGATTTTAAAAATTCAAAACATTTCCACATCATGCACTATAAATACACAGAAGAAGAGAACATTCATTTGCAGCTCGTGATCGAATTGATGATACAGAGAGGAAGACTAACAAACTCAGGTTTGATTTCATTACTTCAGAACTAGAAATACTATTATTATATTGTGAGTGTGTGTACATATAGTATGTATAGTATATGTATCTACTGCAATCACACAAAAAAATACTAAGATAAATAAAAAGTTAAAAAGAACAGTATTTATTCAAAATAAAAAATGTCTGTTAAATATATACTACTTTTCAAAAGTTTGGGGTCAGTGCATTTCTTTTTTTTTTTGAAGGAAAATTTTAGGATACTTTTATTCAGCAAGGATGTGTTAAATCAGTGTTCCTCAAATCTGGCTCGCGAGATCCACTTTCCTGCAGAGTTTAGGTCTAACCCTAATCAAACACGTCTGAGTTTGCTAATCAATGTCTTCAGAATCATTAGAAAATCACAGGTAGGTGTGTTTGATTAGGGTAGAGCTAAACTCTGCAGGAAAGTGGATCTCGCCAGCCAGATTTGAGGATCACTGTTAAATGGATAAAAAGTGATATTGTTAGAAAAGATTTCTATTTTGAATAAATTTGGTTCTTTTTAACTTTTTATTTTATTTATGGAACACAGGTTCCAAAAAAATATTAAGCAGCACAACAGTTGATAATATTATCAACACTGATAATAACTCCGCATATTAGAATGATTTCTAAAGGATCATGTGACACTGAAGTAATGATGCTGAATATTCAGCTTTGCTTCACAGGAATAAATTATATTTAAAGTATATTCAAATATAAAACGTATGTTAAATTGCAATAATAGGCTATTTCACAAAATTACATTTTTTTCTGTATTTTTGATCAAATAAATGCAACCTTGATGAGCATAAGAAACTTCTTTAAAAAAACATTAAAAATCGTTTGAACGGCAGTGTATATACATAGGCTATAGGCAATCTACCTTATGAACAGTTAAATGTTCTCCTATTGTGCAATAAAAATGTGTGCAATAACCTTATACTATTTATCACCCTACATCCTAGTATATTTTTTTATTCTATTCATACTCTACAGTATTTTATCTATAGCACACTTGTACATATTTATCCTTTTGTGTGTGCTTTATTTATATTTATACATATGTGTATTTTATTTACATCTTATTTTTTATTATGCGTGTTGTTGTTGTCTCTGTGTACTGGAAGCTTGTGACACTAAAACAAATTCCTTGTATGTGCAAACATACTTGTCAATAAAGCTCTTTCTGACTTCTGATATGCATGTACAGGTGCATCTCAATAAATTAATCCTCTTTTCAGATGAGAGCAAGTTTCATTTGGAAACCAAGGTCCTAGAGTCTGGAGGAAGGGTGGAGAAGCTCATAGCCCAAGTTGCTTGAAGTCCAGTGTTAAGTTTCCACAGTCTGTGATGATTTGGGGTGCAATGAAATTGCTAATGATCTTGAGTAATTGTATAGGGTGGTATGAACACAGATTTTGACTAAAATAGTTATCATTGTTTGCAGTAATACCATCCAAACAGTGAAACTACGTATAAATAATCTACAAATATTTCAAAATTTTAGTAAAATAGTACCATCTTCATAATTGGTAATTAAATGTATTTATGTAATTATTTATTCAGTTTTTATATAGCCTTTGGGTAATTCTATAGTAGTGTAACGGGGCTGACAAGACGGGAGACGTGCGGATCCATGTGCAAGCTTTTATTAAAGCAGAAGAGGTCAGAAACACAGGCAGGGTCGAACAATGGCAAACAGGTATATGGCGGGCAATACACAAGAATAAACCTAGGGCTAGCGTGGGTCAACGATCGGCGAACAGAATCAAAAGGGCGAGACTAGAGGGGATAAATCCAGGAAAACAGGCAAAGATCAGAAACCGGGAAAACAGACGAGGCAAGACTAGGCTGGGCTGGGAAATTAACGAGGGCTCTGTAAAGTAGCTATCACTGCTTGCGATAAGCACATACAATATTCGGCAGAGAATGGTTGTTTGAGTGAGTGTTAAATAGTGTGTGAGTAATATGAAACAACTGTGTGCAATCAGTGCTGTGTGCAATCAGTGCAATGAATGATGGGATATGTAGTCCGGGATGATATGCAACAGTTTGTGTAGTGCGAGAGTCAATGTAATGGAAAGGGTGACCTCTGATGGTAAGCAGACGGAAGTTCATGGACCGGATTCATGACAAGTAGCCTATTGAAGGATGCAATTATCTAGATTGGTTAAGTATAATATTTAGTTTCTTTACATTTTATTAAATAAGTATTAAATATATACCTCTCTTATTAAATTAATGCTTATGTGTCGGACTGTATATCAGAATGTGATTAATTTACATTTTAACATTTCTTAACAGGCAGCATATGAAATCTACTATAAACAATCAAGATTATTGATGTGATTAGAAAACTGTCATTACACTATCTGCCTCGGGAGATGCTTGAGGTATGAAGAACTGTGAGACGGTGCTCTGATTTCTGTGAGCTCGAGCATTCCGGGAATGTTGCTCTCCTGAAGCATGCTGTCGTATGTCTGACAGACCACTGTACACCACAGAAAACACTCACTGACAAATTGTGCAATTGGCTTGATTTGATACTCATTTCCACTGACACTTTCCAGCCATGTATTTGATTTCTCCCACTCTCGTCGGTACTTTTGCATTCGCTTTCATTTCAACTCTGAAACTTTCAGAGCTGGACCACGGATCAGGAGCTGCCTCCGCCATCGTTTCAAATCGACTCTCTTGCCAGAGCATCTGAACATCTCTGCCAAGAGACCCGCCCTCCCTTTGACCTTGATTGGCCATGGCCTGGCTGAACCTGCTATAATGGCATCGAAAATTACCCAATCAGAGAAAGAATAGCACGAGTCTTAACAGAATGTGGGTGATTTGCATGAACGTTGTACAACTCGAAAATACGGGACAAACACCGTCCCATATTGATTTAAAACGGGACGCGCTATTAAATTCTCAAATACGGGACGATTTTGTATTTTAAGGGACGGGTGGCAACCCTAGTTAAGCCAGTCGGCGTGGTAACCCAGGCACACATAGATAGTAATACATGTGGTTCACATGGCTCTTCAGAGCAGCAGCAGTACATATCTCTTGGCAATAGATCTGGAACCTGCTATAATGGCATCGAAAATTACCCAATCAGAGAAAGAATAGCACGAGTCTTAACAGAATGTGGGTGATTTGCATGAACGTTGTACAACTCGAAAATACGGGACAAACACCGTCCCATATTGATTTAAAACGGGACGCGCTATTAAATTCTCAAATACGGGACGATTTTGTATTTTAAGGGACGGGTGGCAACCCTAGTTAAGCCAGTCGGCGTGGTAACCCAGGCACACATAGATAGTAATACATGTGGTTCACATGGCTCTTCAGAGCAGCAGCAGTACATATCTCTTGGCAATAGTCTGCTTTTTGTGGGGTGTTTTGTTCTTGTTTTGGCTTGTATTGTCCCTTCTATGTCTCCTGCTTTGTGGGGGTTATTTCATGTATGTTATATTTGCAGCAGTAATGTAATATTTCTTACATGCTCACAGCAGCATGTTGTGGATGTATTGGCGGTCAAGTCTCGGTACTTGCTCTGCCGCAGCAGCAGCAGCAGCAGATCTATTCCGCCAAGAGCAAATACATTAACATTGTCATGTACATTACCATGCCAATCCCTTCGAGAGTTGTTATGACAGAACTTTGATTTTTAAGAAATGAAATTAAAAATGAAATTAACTGAAAAAGGCAAAAATAATAATAATAATATATTAACACTATGAGTTTTGCTACATTTCAGTATTCTTTTGTTACATAGTTACTTATTGTTACTAGATGCCACATTGTTAGGGCATCATTAACTGATAAAAAGAAATTAAGAAATGAAATGTTTATTATTTCAACAGGGAAAAAACAAGGACTGTGGAAAAGCTGGAGTCAGTTTAGATCAACATCAGAACAGGAAAATATTGGGAAAAATGCATGAACTATTTCACAAACTCCATATTGAAGACAGACACATTAATAAACTGAGAGCTGCAGATGTTCTTCAGATAACCAAACATTCATTACAGTCCCATGAGTCTTGTGCTGAAGAGGAGCTGATTCAGACTTTCATACAAAAACTACTGATGATGAACTACAGAGCAAGAAATATTAGCGTTGAGGAGATTAATGAACAGGATCACATTCCGCAAAGACACAATGACTCATCTGATGATGAGAGTGATATTTTCAATGAAATGTCTATCTCTAACAAAGGAACAAGCAGATCTGATCTCATCCACCCGATGGATGTTCAGATGGCCGTGTTTCATTGTGCTGATGGTTTCCTGAAGCAGCTGATGGTGACTAAACTGGCCCAGTGTCAGTACGCTCTGCCTCTGCTTGTTCCTGATCCATTCACACGACAGATTGAGTTTCCTCTCTGGACATTCAGACAAATCAAGAAGAGCTGGAAGATGAGAAACACCAAAAATGAGATTATCACTCAAACCCAGCCGATCTACAAGGCAGAAACTCCAATGGTGTGTTTCTTCAGGTTTGGCTCTGTGTCTTCATCCAAGTCTCAGCTGATGAACAGTCTGATCAATGAGAAACACAACACGTTCTTCCACAGGAACTGCCCAGGCAGCAGCAGAACCAGAGAGCTGATGGATGGAGTGGTGGAGATCGCCTGGTTCTGCCCTTCTGGAAAGGATACGGATAAATTCACTGACTGTGTTGCGTTCTGTAATCTACACGGTGATGCAGGAGACCATGAGAAACAGCTGCAGATCCTCACTGAAATGGCCTCAGTCAATGTTGTTCTTCTACCAAAACTAGACAGGAACGACAAACATGCAGCAAATATACAAAAACTGTACAACAACAGAAAAGCACTCATTTGTCTTTTAACTGAAGATGAATCTACTGTAATTCAGACAAAGAAAGGAAAATACAAGATTGGTCTTAAAGACAGAAATCACCCAGATGTCGCTAAAGAACTCAGAAGAGCTATAAATGATTGCATCTCAGAATCATCTTCCACCTTCAGACTTGAAGATGTGTCCAAACACTCAGATATCAGAGTAGATGAGGAAGATGATGGTGACTGCAGGAGAGGAAGAGAAGCAGCACAGCAGATGATGAGTTTACTGGGGAACAAAGATCTGACAGAAATCAAAGAATCATTTCTGCCTCATCAGGGGAAACTGTGGCATCAGTGGAGTCAGAAGAACAAAGAACTGCATCGACTTCAAGCAGATGAGATCGAAATAAGAAAAAAAACTGAAATTAAGAATATCCGTGAACAGCAACATGAATCTGACATCAGTGAGTTTATAAAATTGTTTATTAAAGAAATATGCTCATATGATAAATATGTTATGAAGTTTTTTCTTATTTGGCTCCAAATCTTCCTAGATGAATATACATCAAAGGATATTACTTTTCTTCATCACAAGTATAATGAAAAATGGTCTGTGGTTAAAAAACTGAAAGACAATCATGATAAATCTGAGCAATTCAAAACTGAACAAACCAAGCTTGAGAGAATATCTGACGAACTTCAAGCTGCAGCCTTTGGTTTGGAGCACATCATGAGGGAGATCGGACAAATCTATGAATCATGTGAATCAGTGAAGAAGAACAAGAAAGACCTGAAAGACTTCTCTTCTCTCCCGAGTCTTGCAGCAGAGATGATGATCTCTGGATCTCCACTGGAGCTGATGGATGGAGACGCTGCTCATGTTCCTGTGATCTGGATCTCCGCTGTTCTAGATCAACTCATCCAGAAACTGGGAGACCAGAGAGTCTTTGTGCTATCAGTTTTAGGGATCCAGAGCTCTGGGAAATCCACCATGCTGAACGCCATGTTTGGACTCCAGTTTGCCGTCAGTGCTGGCAGGTGCACCAGAGGAGCTTTCATGCAGCTGGTCAGAGTCTCAGAAGAGATGAAAACACAGATGAACTTTGACTATATTCTGGTTGTTGACACTGAGGGTCTTCATGCTCCAGAACTGGCTGGAAGATCAACAAGACATCATGACAATGAATTGGCAACATTTGTTGTTGGTCTTGCAAATCTGACATTGATCAACATCTTCGGTGAAAACCCATCTGAGATGCAGGACATTCTTCACATTGTTGTTCAGGCCTTCATGAAGATGAAAAAAGCCAGACTGAATCCCAGTTGTATGTTTGTCCATCAGAATATTTCAGATGTCACAACTGGACTGAAAAACATGGAGGGAAGGAGACGATTGCAGGAGAAGTTAGATGAAATTACAAAACTCGCTGCTGAAGAGGAGGTCTGTGATGCAGAACATTTCAGTGATATCATTAGATTTGGTATACAGAAAGATGTGAAGTATATTGCTCAGCTCTGGGAGGGAAACCCACCCATGGCACCACCAAACCCAAACTACTGTGAGAACATTCAAGAGCTAAAGAAAACCCTTGTATTTTTGGCCTCAAAATCTCATGGAATGATGTTTATAGATTTAAAACACCATATTAAAGATCTCTGGGAGGGTTTACTAAATGAACGATTCGTCTTCAGCTTCAGAAATTCTCTGGAGATTTCAGCTTACAAGAAACTGGAGACCGAATACAGCAAGTGGTCCTGGAGTCTTCACAATGCCATGATGGAAATTGAGAATAAACTACACAACAAAATAGAAAATGAAACTATTCATGAGGTTGAGGAAACTGATCTTCAAAGAGAACTGAAGAAGACAAGTGAAGAAGTGGAAAAATCAATGTCAGAGTTCTTTAAGAAAGACCCTGATGTTGCTTTATTGATTCAATGGAAAACATCATTTGAAACCAAAACTAAGGAGCTTCAGGAAAACATTGTGAGAGAAACAAAGAGAAAATTAAATAAGATTCTTCAGCAGCAAGACCTGAAGAAAAAGATTGATGCTCAGAGGACACATCATATAAACACTCTCTATGAAAAGAGCAAAGAACTTGCCTTAAAACTCAAAGACAAAACAGATGAGGAAACACTGAAGAAAGAGTTTGATTTGTTTTGGGAACAGAGTATGAAGAAGATCATCACAGGCACTCAAACTTTAATCAATAACATTGACATAATGAGAGACATGAAAGAGATCCCAAGTGACATCTATGGAAGTGCTCCTGTAGGTCAGAAGAACAGAGAGTACAACAACATTTCCACTGTGCAAAGTTATTCTGAATATGTTACTGAATACTATAGTATTTTCCAGAAATACTGTCATGGAGCAACTTCAGCTGCTATATTTGGTGAGATCATCTGTCAGAAACTTAAAGATCCCATTGAGCAGAGTGTCTACAAGAAGACTGCTAGAGATCTGACAGAAGAAATTAAATCAAACTGTGAATCGCTGAATGGAAACAGATCAAATCTGGAGAAACACATCCTGAAGACACTGGCGGAAGAGGAGGATTTTAACAAATACATGAACTACATTGATGAAACTCTTGAAGTGATCTCTGGGATTATCAGAAATGTTGTCAGTCGGTACATCACTGATCAGTTCAGTGTCAGTGTTTTACCCAAGATGGAGGAGAACATTAAACTCCTGCAGCAGAAGATCATGAAAGCAGCTCATGAATCTACTGAACATGTTCAAGTGAACAGAGGAGATGCTGGTTTGTGGTTGAAGAGTTTCACACAGCAGCTCTCAGATGAGCTGATCTTCTCTGAAAAAGACCTCAGTGGAGTCAAACATGATGATGTTGATGATTTCAACCTCCTAGAAGATGTAATAAGACAAGAACTTACTGATATAATGTCTGACATCAGCAGTAGATTCAACACAGAGACATTTCCAGTAAAGCTGGACTATAAATTCAGACCAGATGAGCTTCTGATTGATCACCTCTGTCAGTGCTGTTGGGTTCAGTGTCCGTTCTGTAAAGCCACCTGCACCAACACCATAAAAAACCATGATGGAGATCACAGTGTTCATTTCCATCGTACTATTGGACTGACAGAGATATATTACAGAAATACATCCAACTTGTCTACTTATATCTGCACATCAGCAGTGGCAAACAGTAATCTATATTTTTTCCCCATTGACTCGGATGATAAAATCCCCTGGAGAGAATACAGATCAGCAGGAGGGAAATATAAAGACTGGAGCATCACCCCTGACCTCTCTGAACTGCCCTACTGGAAGTGGTTTGTGTGCAGATTCCAGAAAGATCTGGAAAAATACTACAATAAAACATTTGAGGGGCAGGGTAAGATCCCAGAAGAATGGAGAAAATATTCAAAACAAGATGCTATTGAGAGTCTTGATAAATACATTTAACTGAAAATTGGAACAAGTAATTTTCAGGTCTTTTATTGACAATAGGAAATTATGGAGTTTGTGTTTTGGAGAATATATTCATATTTTGGTAGGCCAAAACAAATTTTAATTTAACTTAAACGCGGGACCGTTTGAAAGCAAAGTTAGTGTTCCCGCTCTGTCTGAAGATTGTTTAAATGTATACCATCCTTGAAACCAGGACATTTGTTTCTCTGTCTGCTGATTGTGGACACTTCTGCCATGGATAGTCCTTCCTCTTTTTGATCCACGGTGAGAGTTCATGAACAGGCACACATAATAGTTTTCTCCTCCGTGGTCACATCTGACTGGAGATGGCACCTTATACCTTACAGTGGCTAAAGCCCAAAACACACTTCACGATTTTAGCAATCCTTATAAGATCATTGCATGTCACACATGGATCTAATAAACTTGGCCACGACATGTGTAGACATAGATGATGATGACACCTATTGACTCGTATAATACAACGCACATTACTATAAAAGAAAAAAAACATCTTCAGAATGCGCTAGTGATAAACAAAAAGAGCATGATAAATCACACTTTAGCAGTTTTTTTTTGTGTGCTGAAAAAAAAGTGGAAGCAGCGAAAGAGGAAAGGATAAGAGCTTAAGGTTTTATGTTCAGTTTTATGTTTTAGCACAATGTGATGTTGATTTCACTTTCACGCATTTTTATTGGTTGGTCAGTAAATGTGGATCGTAGCAGCAAACACACTGTGCAATGATCATTTTGTATCTTAGGCTATCTTTGGTCACAAGACTGTGACAACGGCCGTCTTTGAACCTTTCTCACTGAACGACACAGAACCACCAATTAGGAGCCACGATCACAGAAATCACCACTGTAGCATCTGCTTAGGATTATTGATGATCGTTTATACTCTGTCTTAGAGACCCTTTTAGCCTTTTGACATTTCATTCTACATTTATATGGGTGCTAAATTGCCAATGCTCATTAGGATGTGGTTAATTGATGTGAAATACTGCCATTCTTTTGCTTTTCTCTCTCTCTTCCTTACTTTCCTTTATTCTGTATATATGTGTTTTGCTTAATTTAGTTGTATGTTAGCTATAGTTTCATTTATTAAATCCCTTATATTCGCAATTGATTGTCTCTGTGTGCTGCTCATAATTCGGAGTCACTGAATGTTGATCATTGCTACATGCTAACTTACTGTTAGTACTGCATAAAGAAGGAAAGCTATTGTTCCTTGGCAAGGAAAATAATCTTTTCTAGAATTAATTATATTGTCTGTTTGGTGGATGGACAGATCAATTAATTGTACTATTGATTCCGCTACAGTTAATTCTAAGATCTAATCTAAATATTTATTTTTAATTATAACCAGTTATAATTAATTATAAATATTTCCCTTTTTGAGCTAATTTTCTACACCATGATCGTTTCACGATGCCAATCTTTTGGCTGGGACAGCCGAAAATAGTACAGTGTGTTTAGGGCTTTAAACAAACTGTTCAAACACTGTGCTGCTTCTGTTGTTGTCTGAAGCCTACTAAAACACAACCAGTCTGCTAAAGCTATGGATTTCGCCATGGATCACTATTCTCCACCTAAAAAATAAAGCAAAATGCTTTTACTAGTCTTTTACATTTACATTACATTTACATTTAGTCATTTAGCAGATGCTTTTATCTAAAGCGACTTACAAATGAGGACAATTGAAGCAATCAAAATCAACAAAACAGCAATGACATACAAGTGCTATAACAAGTCTCGGTTAGCTTAACGCAGTACACATAGAAAGGTTATTTTTTTAATTAAATAATAAAAATAAAACGGATAGAATAGAAAAAGAATAGAGCAAGCTAGTGTTAGAGGCCTTTTTTTTGCGTTTTGTTAATTGTATATGTAACAACGTTCGTAGGTCGGGAAAAAGGAGGCGGAAACCAGCGAACATTCAAACAAAACTTTAATAAAATAAACAAACACAAAATGAAAGTAAAGCGGCAGCCCCTCGCAGACGACTGCCGCACACAAAACACAAAATAAAATCCAGGCCTGGTCCTCTCTCGTCCATCACTGTCGTCACTCCTCCTTTTATCCTTTCCGGAGCTCCTCCGTGGGACTCGAGACCGGTGAGTGGCGCAGGTGTCGTGCATTAGCATTTACTCCACTGGCCTCGCTCCGTTCCCACGGCTCTCGGCCCCGCCCCTCTCGTCACATACCCCCATCGTCCCTCGCAGGCAGGGGGGTACCCACGAGACTGTGCACTACTCCCCCCTCCGGGGAAGCCGATCACGGCAGCGGCGGCGTACGTGGGGGTAAGGATAGACAGACGAGGTGAGAGAATAGGAGACGGAAGGATGAGGAGAGGGGAGAGAGGGAGAAAAAAAAAATCTTGTTCAGGTTCCCTGACACACTGCCGCTCGGCCCTCCACCAGCTGGGTAAACTCTTCTGCAATGCCTGGCGGCGGCACTGGATAGCCCTCGGTGGACAGCCCGACACTCCTCCGCCGCCTGGTGGATGGCGATGGCTCCTCCGGCCCCCGGCAACTCACTCCAACCCACCACCTCGAGCGTCCACGGCAGCAGACTGCTCCGCCATGCTCGATGGCACCGCGGATTCACGACAGCGGCGAGGGACCCTGTTCCCTGCTCCTCCCCATCATGGCGGATGGCAGCAGGCTCTCACTCCCCCGGCAACTCACTCCAACCCACCACCTCGAGCGTCCACGGCAGCAGACTGCTCCGCCATGCTCGATGGCACCGCGGATTCACCACAGCGGCGAGGGATCTCTGGCAGCGTGTCCCTCCTTCCTCCCGGGTTTTGGCACCAATGTAACAACGTTCGTAGGTCGGGAAGAAGGAGGTGGGAACCGGCGAACATTAAACAAACCCAAAATGAAAGTAAAGGTTTGTTTGATTTTATTAAAGCGGCAGCCCCTCGCGGACGACTGCCGCACACAAAACACAAAATAAAATCCAGGCCTGGTCCTCTCTCGTCCAACAATGTCGTCACTCCTCCTTTTATCCTTCCGGAGCTCCTCCGTGGGACTCGAGACCGGTGAGTGGCGTGGGTGTCGCACATTAGCATTTACTCCACCGGCCTCGCTCCGTTCCCACGGCTCTTGGCCCCGCCCCTCTCATCACAGTATAAAAAAGAAAAAAAAAAAACGAATAGATAGAATACAAAAAGAATAGAGAAGCTAGTGCTAGTTTTTTTTTAAGAAAACAAGCATTTAGTAAATGAATAGAGTGCAAGTCTAAAAGGGGCACGGTTTTTTTTAAAGAATAGAATTAGAATAGAGTGCTAGAGTTAGAGGGTCAAATAAAGATGGAAGAGATGTGTTTTTAGCCAATTCTTGAAAATGTCTAAGGACTCAGCTGCTCGGATTGAGCTGGGCAGGTCATTCCAGCAGGAGGGAACATTTAACCTCTGGCAAATTCATTTGAATGATTATGATTTGGAAAGGCACACACCTCTCAATATAAGGTCTGAGAGCTGAAATGCATATCAGAGCAATAACTAAGTCCTGAGGTCAAAATAACTGCCTGTAGAGCTCAGAAACAGGACTGTCAAGCCACACATCTGGGGAAGAGTTCAGGAAAAAAATCCTGCTGCATTGAAGGCTCACAGAAGCATGTAGTCTCTGTTGCCTTTAATGGAAGAAATTTGGAACAACTGGGACTCATCCTAGAGCCAGCCTTTATGTCTTTCTTTCTTTAATCATACAAAAAAGTAGGGAAATACACTCAATTCTTAAAGATAACACAATAAAGTTAAAAGAAAACTTGTTTCCATTGTGGTCCTTTGTGTTAAGCACAAACTCCACTCCTAGTAGCAGGTACACTTGCTATGCATTATAAATACAAAGATTACAGTAAAATTCCACATGTACAAAAATGTAACTTCAGGACAAACTGAGCAATTCATAAAGAAGGGCTTTGGTTAGACTGGTGACCAAAGAGCTGATTTTCACTCTAGTTGAGATCCATGATCAGATGGGAGAAACTTACAGAAGGACAAACATCACTGCACCACTTTACTGATCTGGGCTTTATGCCGGTGTGGGTAAACTCAACACACATGGAATTTGCAACAAAGATCCTAAAGGACTCTGAGAAAAGGGATTCTCTGGTCTCATGAACCTCAATTCCAAGCATCATGTTTGAAGGTCTGTGTGGGTCCTAACGCCCCAGTATAGTAACGGGGAAACTATACTGTTAAAAAGCACCGTCCTTCGGATGAGACATTACACCGAGGTCCTGACTCTCTGTGGTCATTAAAAGTCCCAGGATGTCTTATGAAAAGAGTAGAGATGTGACCTCGGCATCCTGGCCAAATTCGCCCATTGGCCTCTGACCATTATGGCCTCCTAACAATCCCCATATCTACTGATTGGTTTCATCACTTTATCTCCTCTCCACCAATAAGCTGGTGTGTGGTGGGCGTTCTGGCGCACAATATGGCTGCCATCGCATCATCCAGGTGGATGCTGCACACTGGTGGTGGACGAGGAGATGCCCCCTCACAATGTAGAGTGCTTAGAAAAGCAAAAAAGCGCTATAAAAATGTAATGAATTAAGGAAACCAGGCACTGCTCATCACAGGCAGAGTACCATCCCAAAAGTAAAGTGTGCTGGTAGCAGCCTCATGCTGTGGGGCTGTTTTTCAGTGGCAGGGACTGAAGACCTTGTCAGAGTAGAAGGAAAGCTCAACACGGCCAAATATTGAGATGAAATGTAAACCCTTCTGAAAACCCAGTCCAGAGCATCCAGAACCTCAGACTGGGCAGAAGGTTAATCTTCCAACAGGACAATGACCCTAAGCACACAGCAAGAGTGTCTTATAGACAACTGTGTGAATGTCCTTGAGTGGCCCAGCCACAGCCTGGGCTTGAACCCAATCAAATATTTCTGGAGAAACCTGAAAATGTGCATCTGCCCCCATCCAACCTGATAAAAGAAGAATGGCATGTAAGAATGGCATAACCTCAGACACTTAGATGTGTG